TTGCATATTCCTTTGGCTTGCTGCTATTCTATCCTATGCGCCGCCGTGCACCCGAAGCGCATTTACTCTGCCTGTTGTTAGATATCGTCACTTACGTTTATTCTGGAATGTGAGAATTACTCCCATGGCCAACCTCGACACGCTGACGGATATGGCCCTGCGCAGCCACACCTCATTCACACCACAGGGAACCACTATTTCTCGGGAGAATTGAGAAGAAAAAGAGAGAGAGAGTACGACTCGACCTGGGAGGAATTGCCTAAATATGATGAGAGATCGCAGCGAGCACAGCTAACTTGCGTGTTCTAGGGTCAGCATACACCATTGTAGTTGAGCACCTGTAGCTGCATCCGTTTTGCCGGCACACCCAGCAGCAACATCGCAGTGCTGGCCATATTTATGTACCAGCTCGGTAATGCGAGTCATCAAGGTGGACTGTGTCATGTGCAACCCCCCCACCGCTGATGGTTACGGGGAGTCATCCGCATTATGTTTTCACACCGCGAACGTCAATCAGGAATATTTTTCCTATACGTCTGGCACCACCAGTAGCTTACTGCCCGCAGTTTGCTAGAGATTGATTCGGAATCACACAGGGTCTCATCAATCTATAGGCCCCTGTTGCACTGGCGGCTCGGCTGTCGGCGTGCTAGCACCTGGCAATCAATGCGTAGGTTTTTCGTATGTAAGCGTGCTGTCTTCACGCAGTCTTTGTAGCTTAACCACCAGCAGATTCTCTTGGCGGGAATATCCACAGAGGCGTCGCTTTTGAGGAGACTACAGTTGTTGTACACCCCTAAAAAGCGACGCCTCTGTTATTTAACCACCAGCAGATTCTCTTATTCTCATCCTCAGTTTTGGTAGATGCGACCCCGACCGGTGGTCTTAATGAATGAAACCGTTTACCAAGACAGAGCGTGGCATGATAAGTCATTCCCTCAAAGCTATCAACAGCAGTAGAGGCGGTCTTCCTTCAAAGCTTTTCTCCACTAGTTTGTGTAAGCCCAAGTCGACTCCTCTAGCATCTCCATCATAATGGCTTCTAACCATTCTAGGCAGACGTAAATTCAGCTTGGTCATACGTGCTAAACTGTTCGCCGATAGTGATGCGAATCCTCGTGTTCGCGGTGGGCGCGTTGATTCACTTGTCTATAAGACAAGCTTCCTCTTTCCGAACCAGTGCCTCTGCTTGCGAGCTCAACAGGAGTGAGTGTGTAAACATAAGGCATCCGCGACAGCCTATCACTAAAGCAATGCGAGTTGTTCCGTTTGGGAGGTAATACTGCAAGTATGCAGTCTGTCTTACATGGACGCCTAAAGGCTAAAAATTACTCCTTTAATATGCTTTACAGCCTGCATTTCCATGTAGTGCTTGACCACCATCAGGTTTTGCTTGTCCTTCCTCCTCTAAATGTAAATGCAGGTTACAGTACTGAGGCTAACCAAATTCTTTGGCGTAACCTATACTCCGGATCCTGGGGATACAGATGATGCAGCTGCAGTGCGTGCTCTCTCAGGGCAAACAGGTAAACTGTGATGTGATCCACAAAAAAGCTTAATCTTTTGTCTTTTGTCGTATCCTGAATCAATACGAGATGCCACCCAGCGAAGTTTGACTACGAGCGCAAGTCCAGTGTGTGTGATGTCCCTTTTAGCGGGGGCTCGTACAGACTAACTACTGCTATGCGTATGCTTCCTATACCAATAGAAGTGCGAACAGAACAAAGACTATCAGAAGGCGGGGTTGGAATAATCCCCCAGCAAAACAAATTCATCTATAATTGTGGAATTTTGTACTTAAGGCTTTCGCCCCACTGGCAGCAGTGCAGTACCAGACAGTGATTGCTGTCCAACGATTTATCAGAATGTGATGCTATAACATCTGCGGAAAACCTCTGTCAGTTCAATGCAGCTCAGTTCTGCGGAGAAGCTCATCAACAACTATCGGCGTTTTCTGCACGCACGCTCAGGCTGAACCCGTGTTGGCATAGGTGGCCTATCCCTTCCCGAGGTGCTGAGGCCGAATCGAGAGTTTCTGGATCCCATGTGGGGAGGCGGATAATGCGCGAGGCGTAGAGCCTGCCAAACAAAGACACTCGTTAATCCGATGCCCAAAACAATCCACCAGCAAATGGGGAGAGTTACTTGGAAGGCTCGAAAGGCCAGTGGGTCATCCAGCGTTTCACGCCAACGTTCGCTTCCAGCACATGCCATGCTGGCCAGGCAAAATCCAGAAAGCAGCCATAGAATCTTGACTTTCAGGGAATGTTTTAGCTGTGCGGAGGTTATCCATCTGAATTTGAAGAACAACCGTACAACGGAACTCATGTTGTGCTTTCAACCACAGAAGTATCAGATCTAAGCAAGAATATATTGGAACTTATGCAGCCTTATCAAATTTTGTGTCCACGAAATTAATGTGCGGGGTTGACTATCACTTCCTTACCTGCGTCTCATGACCAACATTTTGTGGCGCAGCTCATTGGGAATGAAGCCCAACACACTCTGAGAGTTTGCAGGGAGGCATAAGATCCTGATATGAGGGAAGTGGGAGTTGAAGGCTTCGCTGTAAGTACATATTGCTGAAAAATGCTACATACCCTGGGGAAGGTGACTTACCGTTGGCTGCCAAGTGTAGCCACGTTCCCGTTCATGTTCAAACAGGACGTACCATAAGTCCTGATTACAGAAATACATAGTAATCTGGGGAGCTCTTCTGAGTCAGCTGTAGCTGGCAGAAAACTTCATGTGTTAGATGTTCACGGGGAAATTGTTTGTGGCTGACATCATATAGCCTTGAAGAGCCACTCAACGATATTGCTCTTGAGGCGCACCCTGTCGCTCTCATGGCGGTATTTCTTGACATCTAGGACCTGGTATATTTTCGCCATTTTCGACGATCCTTGGGGCTTCTTTTTTAGCCTTGAGGAAAGGACAGTCCTGCGACGGAAGCATGCGCACGCTCGTGCTAGAATGTTTTTATGTGCACCTACCCTGCGCTTACTCGGTACGGAGTGACCTTGTTCTCTACTTCCATCACAACCAAACGTCAATAGTCGTTTGAAAATTCCTATTGGTGCTTGTATTTTTAAGTAACTCTTGTTGTGTGCGGGAAGCCTTCGCAGTAAAGGCAGCGGTTTGGAAGCGCACCACTGGCATGCCGCTCGCTGTTAACTTATGGCGTTGTTGTTGTACTGGATGTCCTGAGCGTACAGGACTTAAAATACACATTTGATATTTATGTTGTATTAGCGGAATGTAGTTTCAGTGGTTTCTTTACAGAGCTCGACAATGGTGTGCAGCCCTGAGCCCGGGGCTGCCCGCCAGATGCGAATTCACGGTAGGGAAGCCAGATGCAGGGTTATAGACGACTCTTTTGATGCAAAGGCAGATCTTTTGCATTTCTGGGAGGTATTTAAGATGTCATGTTAGTGCGTGAATTGCAAGTAAACGAATGGCTCGTTGCGTGTCCGGGACTCTTCGGCGACGGAGCGGATATGCGATTCCATATGCTAGTGTGAGCCCGCACAAGCCATGCAGCTCCAGTGTTGAAGGATACTCACCGCTTAGTTTTCTTCGTTGCCGTCTGGATTTTTGGTATACTTTTTGAGTCGATTGGCAAACTTGCCGATAATCGCCTGGACTTGCTACTGTGGCGGCGTCCCCGGGTGACGAAGAACGGTTGGTGACTTAAGCAAGAGCACGCTTTCAATGAAGTAACTATCTCGGGTTCCTTTTTATGAGTAATATGTGTAATCAAATACACTTAAGGTGTTTTCCGTCTACTGCAGCTTGTCCGGAATACGCGAATATGTGTAGGACCCGGAGACTGTGCGACGAGGTGGTGTGCTGTGGCACTTCGACAAGAACATAGAGGAGCTGAGCGACGTCGCGTTGAGAAAGCTAGCGATTCAGACAGATGGAACCGTCTTTGAAGGGACGAGTATGGAGGGTGTGAAAAAGATGGCTACAGTAGAGGGCATAATATTGTGATGTAACCGTTTGCCTATATGAGCACACTGAAAAATACGTAATTCCCGCAAGCCCATTGGCACCTTAGGCACATGCATCCTATGAATGCTCATACAAGCAGTATTTGTTGCATAGAGGGAATGTCGCATTATAATTGCGCCTGATATCATAACACGCGGGACCCTCGCTTGTAACAACCCACACGTTGTGCAGTAGTGGTCGAAATGCGGCTGAAGGATCCATACTACTAAAATATATCATAAGTGGTCATATAATACTGCCAGACAGTCAAGTACTGTCTGGCAGCATTACTTGACCATTTATGAGTCCTGGGGGGTCCTCAAACCTCTAAATGATTTACGCATGCTTGTGCATCTGTAGCTGTGCTTGCTGGTTGTATCCCACTTGTACAGTACAGCATGCGTGAAAGTGGACCAACATGGGATATTTTTCCTTGCATTTCGTGGTTAGAGGATTTCACTGTTCAGTTGGTGACTGAGGCCCAGTTTTGTTAGACTTTGACCACATATCGTACTACGTTGTTTTGTTGTCAGGTTCTGGAAGGAGGCCTCCTTAGCCATCCGAGCGGCCCCTCCCTTCCTCTGGGAGTGCGCACAATTATGAGGTTTTTCATAAACGTGTTTTTGGAAACAGCTCCCCATGATTATGGAAACATCCAGAGCAAATGAAGACCTGCATAGTGCTTCATTGATTGGAAGTTTCGCACAACGGGAAGGTCGGGTGCAGTACCATTCTTCACCAGCATGTTCACTTGCTTATGCTTGTCAGGAGTCAGCCAGGTAACACAAATTTTTACTACAGCTTGCACCATCTAAAGATCAAACGGATGGGGCTCCTGAAGCCATCCCCGCGACTGTACATCTTCAATCTACCTTAGGCTTTGCGTTTGCAGAAGCCTTGAAGACACTTTCTCCCGTAGTTTTCGGAGCAACTCTTCATTTGCCTGAACTTTCACAAACACGATTCGGGCACATCAATTTTAAGGGGTTTTATGCAGGGTTTATGCACTAGTTAGGTGTCTGCTTGCAGGCTGCTGAGGGTAGACGCGGTTCCAGACTTGCCAAGAGAAGGCAAGCCAGTTCCCGTGCACGAGTTGCGACAATTTCGTGAAAGTTGTGTATCCAGGTTCCCAGTGCACAGTGGTTCTCACGAGGCTCCTTTAATGATATTGTGTTGACTGTCACGACAAAAGAGAGAAGTGCTGGGTTGTGCAGTGCATAATACAGGTGTAGGCGCACCTGATGAAGCACTCCGAGATGCCCAGCACTATAGCGCGTTGAAGGGCAATGCGGATACTCTGTGGGACCCCTGCTTGACATAAGCCTGTCATGATCAGCTTTGTCCACTGCCTCTTCTGTTGGTGAGAGCGACCTTAGTGTCTCAATCTGCTGGAGCTTAAGGCGTTCTTCTGCATGTTGAATCAGTATTTCCGCAGTTGTGAGAGCTGATCCTGCCACTGAAGCCGACGAACTCTGCTGTAGTTGCATGAGAGCCAGCGCCATGCTTGCAAGCACTGTGGCAGCTGCTACGGGGAATGGGAAAAAACTGTTCTCAGTTGTTGATGCTTGCACCGCTGCTTGGAGCAAGGAAGCCACTGTAGTGAATTCTGGAACTGGTTCCGTTTGTGCAACATCGCAAGAGGGATCATTTCCTGAGCAAATCCGCATGATAATTTGTGGGTGCACTGCTTCCTGCAGGCACTCTGGGTGCTGCCGAAACTTAGAGTTCAGACCAGCAATCCTTCGCTGCGGTAGTCGGGAAGACGAAAGGCTTGCCTTCTGATTTCGCGGTGCTGCTTGGTGTCTTAGAGCCTGTCGGGGGCTCAGAGAGTAGAATGCTTAAACACTTTGCGCACGTCTCAATGGCACGTTGGAGAAGGCAGTGGGGCTCTGAGGCTTGCTTAATGGGACCGTCCACTGTTGCCGGTTGCTGCTTTTCGTGACTGCAGCCGGCTTCTTGTGGTTCTGGTAACGGGGAATGCACAGCAATCCACTCTTGGTGTGTTGCCAACGCCAATTGTAACACATTGTCAGCCTCTTCCTTCACTTTCCGCAAATGTTGAAGCCTTGAGCAGCGGAGCAGAATCACCAGCGTAACTAGACGGTATGATACTCTGTACAAAGCTGGAAACTTAAGGGAGGGCTCCCAGGAGAGTAGTGCGTTTCGCAGTAAAAGCAGGGACAGCAATACCGTCAGGGTAGTAAGCAGCTAAATGCGTGCAGTGGGTAGTCGAACCTTCTTATGTGCATCAAGTCCGCGAATACGGCGGTCCTATGATTATCTAATTTGCAATTGCCGTCAGCATGCGTATGATAAACTGTGGAAGGCGTTTGTGACGGTTTAAGCTCCAGCAGTTCTTCGAGGCTTTTTGCCGCTCTGCCCAAACCACAATATTCACGAGCTCAACGATTGTACGGTTGCCCATGCAGCAAGGTTGTTGCCTTTCCCATTGTGGTGTTTGCTTCGTTCGTCTGCACCACCTTATCCACGCTCAATCACATACATACAGGCTGTGACTAGCGGCAGAACACCTACTCTTCCAGCGCGTCAAGTCTCAGGAATGCTGCAGCACGTCGAGCGAGCAGGACGTGCTGCAAGTACAAACTCTCCTCATGTATTAGGCCTTTGTGTTGAAGCTGCCCCGCTACAGCTGCTGCTGCATCCTCTTCACGGTGCAGTTCCTGCAAAAGCGTCAGTGCTTCATTGCAGTCCGACAGCGCCTGTTACAACACGTTCAATACACTGAGTGCTTTCCTGAGTTTAACTGTCATTGCTGGGGCATGAGCTTCGCTTCACTGTGAGGGCAAGTGGACTAATGCATGCAGCATGTCTATCCACACCTGTTTGACCTTCTCCGCATCTCCTAAAGAGAGCCGGGCCAGGCTTCGCCCTGACAATGCCTTTATAAAAGCAAGTCGGTGAAGGCAATGATGCTTGGCTGGGTGTAAAATTAAGCTGTATGCCTCATCTGCCGCTGCTGCGTCCCCACTAATTAGTAGGCGGGTTGCTTTCGAGTGTAGCCATGCAGGATTAGCTTCCTGCTGCCTACATAAATCTTCCGGCTTTTCCCTAGTGCAGATATCCCTGGCGAGATCCAGCTCAGCTTTTGGCAAGGGCGCGGGAAGCGGGCCTCTCGCAGGAACCCTATTGGGCCTCCTGGCGGCAAACGAAACCTTTACTTTTGTGCAGGGTTGTACAGGCAAGTGGACTTCTGGTAGTGCCACGTTTTTGTTAGTTGATGATATAGGTTGGGCTCTATGCCCGCAAAGAACTGGGTCTGTTGAAATGCTAGCTGTGGATAGCGCTTCATCACTAGTGCAACGTGAAGCCTGCAGGAAGCCGGCTCCACGTTGCGTGGAACCTGGAGGGATTGATGTTTCGACTTGTGCTTTTCCGGCTTCATCGTCTTGTTTACCATCGTAAGCTACAATGCTGTCTTCCTCTTCACCTAAAGTGACGCTGCAATAACTGCCTTCACCTAAAACAGGTGCGTGACACGCGTCACCGCGAGCCTGCAACTCCTGCCGTCCCTCTCGGGATCCAGATGCATCCTCCGTAGTGTTGGCTTCGCTGAGTTCCTGCACTTTTTCCCATGCTTGATCACCATCGAGGGGACGGTTAGCATCATCGTGCGTTTCTGTGCAAGAGGGAGGTTTCCAACCACTGTCGGGCAGCTGTTCGAGCACCTGCTGGACCTGAATCTCCTTTTGGCGTTTGTGCCACTCCCGTTGCTCTTGCTCCTGCCTCCAAACATGCTTTTGCTGTTGTTGCTTGCGTGCTTCGCGTGCAGCTATACGCTGCTGCTGGAGCTGTTCCTGCCATTCGGTGTACGCAGCAAGAGATAATTGCCTCCGCTCCGTAATATTCTGTTGCAGCTTAGGGTTGCTCGCCGCCGTCAAAGAGCCCCACATGCCCTCCTCGGCCTTGGGCACAATGATTGTCAAACATTCAACTCCAGGAGTGACGGTGGCAGACCGAAATGCGACATCTCCCCAAAAGTCAATTTCTAGAAGCCAGGGCGGCCAGCACACCCGGAGGTAGCAGCTGGCAAGAATGACTGACAGTTGCCTATCGCGTTGTTCCTGTTGCAAATTACCTTTGAGGAATGGAATGCGCAGCCTCAGGGAAAGGTGTGTGACTGTCTGTGACCACTGGTAAGCAATTGTATTCGGCATTATGGTTCGGAAGTGCTGTCAGCTAGAACAGCAAAGTAAGCGCACTTTGGTTTGGTCGTAGCAGTTCTGGATAGTCAGTGGAGAAGCAAGCATGGCCATACACAAAAGGTGTAGCTGGACTAAGCTAGGAGCCTGTGCATGAATTGGTAGTCTGACACTACTCCTGTTCCAGAGCAGGGCCTCAATTCTCAATGTTTCGGAGTTATTGGTGCAGGCCTGAACCAGTAACTCGTGTGGAGTTGTTGCACTGAATGAATAATCACAATACGTGAAGTAAGTTGTATAAACACTGTTGATCCGTGCGAAATTCAGTAATCGCAACGGAACTCCAAAGCTAGCGGGGGGTGGGTGGGGTAGGCGATCGCTTTGGGATGCAAACGCTGAACATGGACTGAAGGGTCCGGACTGAGCCGCATCAACGGGGAAAATTAAACAAGAGTTAAACAAAAGAGATGAGTTTTTTCATACCAAACTGGTGTAAACATGATGAATTCCCGGGTGGCCTTGCCGTGTGCGGGCTCCGGAGGGGCGGCTGTCTGGCCTGTCGCGCTGTTAGAGAATTCTAGCATGTATTCCAGATCTTTGAGAGTTCAGAAGTTCAAGAGAGCAATAAGCCACAAAATCGTGGTTAATGTCGAATGCATTTGTGAGGTGTCTCGTGGTATCGTCATTCGTTGGGTCACCTTGCCCGCGTGCTGGAACACCGCTGGGTTCATCGCATGCCACTTCTGAAAAGTGGAAGGAATTCGGTTAATTTATCCATGGCAGATTAATGACCCATATCTGGTCGCGTGTCGTGCGATGTTGATACTTCGAGACGAGTTGCTGCTGGCGAGGCAGTCCGCCTTTACTGGAGCCGAGAGTAACACAAGGTAAAGATGGGGTGAACCGCCTTAGAGTGCACCATGCTATGTCTCGTTTTAGCACCAACCAAACGTGACCGCAGAAGCAAGCACTTCGTCACTCACACAGGTTTATGGGTAGGTGCAACCCAGCATATGGAGCGCATCCTTACTAAAGTTGCTCCTGTATCAGCAAATTCAATTGCCTTCAGCGGACGGGAACGGATTCATCATGAATAAACTGATAACGTTCAGCATGCTGCATCCTTTGCTTCTTGCATTATTTTTGTGAAGTATACGCAGTGGATGACCACCCGCCACTGGCTTTTTCCGTACA